CAATTTTATTTGTAGAGAACGAATAAGAAGCCAAGAAATTGGTTAGCCTTAAAAAAAATTTCATGAAACAGTGGTTTAGATAGACACTCTTTTCAAAAAAATTTTTAATTGCTTTAAAAGTTCTACCCAATACAAATATGATGTATCAAGCAAGAGTGTTACTTAATCTGTTACTCAGAAGCGAAAACCTCACCCTTCTGATTCTTCAATATGAGCATTAAACAGACACACGATAGGAAGTGCATTGGAATTTGGCCTTTAACTTAGCTAACACCTTCAAATATGAAAAAAATATGCATCGCAAATGCACTTCCGCCTAACAAAGGTAAGTCATTTGTCCAGTGTTTGACTCCCTAATACCCTAAACAACAAAAAAGACATCAACATCCAAAGTTCCAATCTGAAATGCGCAATTATGTAAAAACTTCTTTCGTCGCCATGGCAATCGTTTGTTCACTTGATTTCGCAGCAAAAAATATAGCATAATTCGTGGTCTGGTCACTAAAATTTTTTTTACCCCTTTGTTATTTGACCGCTTCTACCTTGTTATTTGGCCACTTCTACAACACAGATCAAATTCTGTATATTTTTTATTTGTATTAAAATTAAAGTTCAGTGAACTGACACGGTAGTACAAAAACAACATTCATCAAAACAACCATTCTTAACTTACATATATTAAACTACTAAAAAAAGCAACTGATTCTTGTTGCTGCTTAATGTAAACAACTATAAAAGAATAACAATATACAATAACCATGCCAGACAAGTTAACAACTAGCTACACAAGTAAACTAAAACAAAAATTTACCCGTCAGATGAAAAGCAGGGCCGCTGATTCGAACAGAAATAAACAGAAGACAACAAAAAAGGTAGTAAACCGTACAAAACTTGTTTTTTAAATCCAGCCACATTCATAGCAAAACTTACGTAGAAAAAATTGTCAACATAATATTATAGCCGCCTAACTACTTAATTCCACTAATCTAAAACTTAGAGTGCCTAAACAGATTTGAAGATATTTATAACTAATTAGCATTATAACATTCCCAAACACTGTCAAAAACTAAAACTAGAACCTTCAAGTCGGCAGTCACTGTGTTGCCTTTCTCTCTTCGAGACTAGGGATGGCAAGCAAATCTCTTACAGCTGCTTCATATTCGTTAACTGTCTCTGGAGTTTCTTTCTGCAATTTGAACCACAAACGTTTATAGAAAAAATATGCAAAAAGAACCACTTAAATGAAAGTTCAACAAAACAAAACCGGTAGATCGACACTGGTCTATTTCCAAACACCTTCAGAAAGCTCAAAAGATGGTTTTATGCGTCATTACCAACCACACCTTTGTATTTAGAAAAAAAAAGAAAAGAAGTACAGGAGTATAAGCAGACCTCATTTCTGTACTTCTCCCAGGATACACCAAACCGCTTCACTTTTGCTCCAATACTTTCATCAGGCTTGTCCAAAGACGGACTGGACATTTCTAGGTCATCCCCTTCCTAGAAAAAAAAGAAATTTAGATTAGCTCATCTCAAAATTTTAGGGCCGAAACTTTATAATAAAAAACAGAGGAGACATACAGGAGAAACTAAGCTCTGCGCGACCTTGACGGCGATCTTCTCAGACTCTGAACCTTCAAAACGAACTTCTAAAGCGTCAGCTCTCTCGGCCATACTTTCCCAAGATTCGACCTTCTAAACAGAATTTAAGAAAAAATAGACACAAAGTCACAGAACACATTTTTAAACAAACGCACTTACACATGATTCATGATACAATGCCGTTAAAAGATAAATAGCATAATCCAAATTCTGCTTTCGCGTATAACACCTAAAATTGAATACAATTAAGTGTTTTTTCAGCCAAAAAGCTACTGTCTATTATTTACTTACAGCACTCACCGATCAGTTATAAGGGTTAAAACATCAGTTTCACGGCAATATCGATCTCCTACCAGCCTCATCATCTTTTCTTTCGCACTATCATTTAAATTCAATGCTGACAATTTGATTTTAATAGTAATAATACGGCTTCGTGGGTCCCGCAAAGAAGTTCCCTGATGCACGTAGTCAGACATAGAAACCATCACCGGATAATTAGTTTCCGATAATTCTACAGAATCGTCAAGCTCAGACGGCCACTTTGTGCAAAATTCTGGAATCTACTAATATTAAAGAAGACCGTTCCAAAGAAGGTTGTAGAAAAGACAATGGAGAAAAAGTTTATCTCGATATAAACAGCCAAGAAAAAGCTGAATAAAAGTTTTCTCAACTATAGCGTAAAAAGTTAACTTTTTTGCAAAATGTCCTCTAGACTGAATTTGAAGCTCACAGAAGTGTCTAGCAAAGAATATCAGCTTCAGTATTTGTCAAAATATACTACCTACGTTTGCAAAAAAAAAA